AATGAAACATACTAGTTATAACCAACATTAAAACTGATCAAATGACCTCTATTCTTTTTCTATTTAAAACTAGACACATAATTATTATTTAATCATTTCTATATACAAAAACTATACTCATATACATTTGGTTTAGGGTCAGATTAATCAACCTATTTACCATAAGAAAAGAATAGAAAGAAAGGGTTAATAGGTAAGAGTGAAAATTTCACACTTATGTATAAAATAAATTGTTGTTTCTATGGCATATTGAGTATCATTTTATAACCATTACAGAAACTTACTAAGAATAATATTGAATTCATAAGCTGATCTAAACTAGATAACGATTGAAAACATATGAAAATACTACACTCTTCACAAATCTTTATTCTGATAGTAATCATGTACTTACTAGTGATTGGATTTCTTCGAGTTCTAGTGAGAAGTCGTGACTAGTGGAGTCTAATCCGTGTCGAGTGTTAGACAGTTATCCACCTCAAACGATAGATGATGGGTTGCACAAGATAATGTGTTGTTAACATTATTAGATGCCAGCTCAGTGGTGTAGAGGTTAACAGTTCGTGCATGCGATCGAAAGTCCTGTGGTTGAGTCCCATGTGTAGAATCGTGTATGTGCACTGTTGAGATTTCCCATAATAAGACAAAACGGTCGCAAAGTTCTTCCGGGTTTTCAATGATGGTCTAGTTTAGATTGGCTTGTGAATTCAACCGTTAAAATACTACAATATCCACAAATCCCCATACTAATACGCATAATGTAATGACATTTAAAGTAAAAGTAATTGGATTTGAGTTTCAGTGTGTTTAAAATCAAAATTTTGGTATGGGGTAGATCGAGTTGATGAGTCCTAAATACGATAATATATACATATTGAACTACACCACTAGTCCCTATCTAAATGTTAATAGAATAAAAACTTGTAACTAAATAACAATACAGAGATAATTCGCTCGGGATTGATATAAATGTGATCATTTTCACCGGCTAACACAAACCTTACCAAAATCTAACTCAAATACTTTGATATGATTTCAAATGCATTAGTATAATTAGACAGTTGTATACTCATAATATTTGACTAATCCTTGACTGTTTTTTGATGTTTTATTTTCCTGAACCGAACAACAACTCAGTGTTAACACTATGCATTCATGTGTTATTACAAATGAACTACAAATTATTACGATAATGTTATACACTATAAAACTCAAATGCAAACAACATAGTTATTAGCACATTATATTTAAACCTTCTTTATCTTTTAGAAGAGATAGGAGTATTGATTTCATTGGAATTCATGTAACTTATGTTGACTGAATGAATAAAAAAACTGTTGTGACTTTCTATATCAGTAGTATATAATGATTGCTTAGCTTTTCTAGAGTTACTTCCATTTTCATGATCTGGTAAAGAAAGAGGGTTGGGTAAGGGGTCAGCAACCCCAACTTTGCTATTAAAAAACACTAGCCAAAATAAAAAGATTTATATATTTAAATGTATGCAAGGCAGTTTGTAGTACTGCATAATTGGTGTTGCACTAAAACAAAATTTATCATTTTAAGTAGTACATTTTTTTCATTAAAATGATTATTAAACATCATGACTTGTTGGGGAAATATTAATTATATAAATACTACCTACTATGGGAGAGAACAAACCAGATTCCAGTGGAGGAAGAAATCAGAAATAAGCGCTGGAAGAGGATAGAACAAACATTAAGGAAATCACCCAACTGCGTCATACGTCAAGCCCTCACCTGGAATCCTCAAGGACAAGGGAAACAAGAAAGACCAAAGAACACAATACGCCGATAAATGGAGACAGACATAGGAAGAAGAATGGACAAGAATTGGATAGAAGTTGGAAGGAAGGCCCATGACAGAGTGAGTTAGAGAATGCTGGTCGGCTCCGTTGGGAGTAACAGGCGTAAGTACTTAAATACTACTACTAATACTAATACTAATTATAATAATCATAATAATAACAGACGCTTTATTAACTACACTATGCTTATCTTAAATACCTCATCATTATTCAAAAAGAGGAGATATCCCAATAAAATCTGATCACCAAAACCTTAATGCAAAACCTTTAAGAATAAACATCATACACATAGAACATATGAATAGTTTCTTGAGTTTATTAAAATAATGGCATTTTAAAGTGATGTGTAGTGAAACCTGGTTCTTTGTATCCTCATCGATATGAAAGTATACGAATGGAAGTATATATTCAATTGACAAATCTCAAAGAGAATGAAATTGTTCACCGTAGACTAGATTGATAGATATCATTCAATTGTAGTTTAGAGTACATTATAGAAAGAAGTATATGATTGTTAATTTGTACAATGTTATCAAGTCTATAATGGATAGTTCTTTGACAAACTGATAACTGGTAACTTATAAATTACCTATATATTATTGAAACGTTCCAACTAGGGTTGGGGGGGAAGGGAATCTAATTTTAAAGCTTCCAGATAGTTACTTTCAATGATCTATAAAGATAATGTCATACTATTATTTACTGAATATTATGGAAACATATAAAATAATATTTCATTGAATAGATGGACTATAAACTAGCAATAAAATCCAAGATTCATATTCCATCTCATTTTAGACATGTCCGTTGAATGTACTTGCCTTATCCAAGTATTGATGTATTATTCTTCTAAAATGTAACTCAATACAGTCTACAGATGCCTTGTCTGAGTTACCTTTTTAACAATTAAGTTTATCCTTTAAGAGAATGTTAATGTATTTATCACCAAGATAATAAAACATTCCAATTTATGATAAGACAGGGAAGTATTTGATCGATTTTAAAGTTAATCAGTAAAACTAAGAATAAATAAATCTGGTACAATCTCTTCTTCTATCATACTATTCATCTTTCATAATTCATTTTCCTTTACTTCTTCATTCTTTCCTCTTTTTTTATTAACCGTTATTTGTTTCCTTTTTATCTTCTTCTGTTCATAGTCCTTTCACTTTCCTCCCCACCCCCCACCCCGCAACTGATTTGTTTCTGTTTCTATGATTCTCTTGATCGCAATTCATTTCAATTTTAACATTTTATTTTGTCATTTTTGAGTCTTCTTTTCCTAATCATAATTTATCTATTTACGTTCATGATGAATATTCAAGTTCACAAGAAGAAAATTATTATTTATTTCTTTAATTAAAATAACATATTTATTCATTTGTTTGTTCTCACTAAATATTGTCATAAACAAAGATGGATAGTAGACTAGTAGTAGAATCTAGGAAGTCTGTTTCGTTCTATTTGGGACTCGTCAATTGAATATATCTGTATTTCACAGTTGATGCTCACTCCTTGATTCCAACAGATTACCATTCAAATCAAATACCATCACATTATCTACTTAGTTACTTAGTCCTAATAACCATTATCTTGTGCAATGAGGTGAAGTTTAAATTCATTTTGTATTGTTTATTTGAAACTTCCTATTGAAGTTTAGGTCAATGGAGATTATTTTGGTACCAAATACCAAGGAATCAAACTAATCAATTCTGTATCTTAGAAGATTTAAATATACATTATAATGAAAAAATCTACAGAATAATGAACGTACTTAGGAATAAACTTAGAAAATAAATATTGTGTACAATAAACGTATCTTACTGTTATGCCTAGATTAGCATAATGAATGGTAACTGTTGAAATGTATTTCTGGACTAATACTATACGTATATTTTTACTGTATAATTGTTAAGTAGCTAAATTATTCATATTCGTGTTCCTCTTGTCACAAGTTATATTTTGACCTATAGACTATTATTATACGATTTACCATTCTTGGGTTATGACCTGTCTACCAATCACAATCTCCCACATTCATAGTCACATTTGGCTTAATCTTGTGCAAATGTTGTTTCCTATTTTATGGTACGATGTGGTCTGTTTGATTGGTATATAAACCCAGTATGTTTGAAATAAATGATTCATATTGCAGAGGCTGAGATTGGTGTTCTGGAAATAACAGGCAGGGCTAGGCGGGAAGCAGGATCGATAAGGACTCTAGACTGCTCGTATGGGTTTTATGCGTCATCGGTCCAATTGATAATTCACTGTTCTCTGGCTGGTGGTATCATTACGCTATATATTAACAAGGTACACAGGTACAAAATTCAGTAGATACTTATTGTCATTGATATCTATGGGTGGTGTTCATAATACTACATAAATATCATCATGTAGCGTTATACATCCATCATTCAACATTCGATAAGTATGTAGTAAGTGGTATTTGTAAGCATATTTCCATTCATTTAGTGGATGAATGGTGTATATAACAGTGTGATTTTTACTGGAGATTTCATATATCTTCTATGAACATGACAATGTAACCCATCGAAACATATGGTGTAAAGAGTGAGATATAGAGTGAGAGTTGAAACTTGAACTGAAATAGCGAGTGAAAATCATGCTTTTAAATGCCTTACTCTTTCATTTAATAAATTATTAAGTTTAGATTATGAGTCAATTAAAGCTAGACCACCATGAAAAATCTGGAAGCACTGGATAAATGTTTCGTCCTAATGTGGGACTCCTCAACAGTGCAAATCCATGATCCCGCCTCGCGAGATTTGAACCCAGGATCGTGGATGCACACTGCTAAAGAGTCCCACAATGGGATAAAACTACCGTTCACTTATTCCAGGTTTTCCATGGTGGTCTACTTTCAACTGACTCATGATCAAAACTATTAAAATTACTATAATATCCACAAAAAAAAAACTGTTCTGAAATTATTAAGTGTTCAGAAATACTTGATACCTCATATACATATGGAATATAAAACAATGAATGTATAACCTCACCCATAAACTTCAATTTACAATGTGTTTTATCATAATAAAAAACGTTTAGAATAATATATATATATATGGAATGTATTCAACTCACTACTGAATTCAGTAATATCATTAAATCAGATTTAATACAAATTTAATTATAAATATATACTTACCAAATTATATCTCAGGTATAATTATTTCTGTTCAAGAGTATATATATAATATTTTATAAATGAAGTACAATACAATGTAATATTCAAAGTTCTATATAACATAATCCAAATTACAATTCAACAATTATTTATTCTGAGAATAGGGGAAAAAAATAGTAGTCTCTTCATATTATCACATCGGAAATATCACCAATTAGTTGTCATGTTAACTAAAATAAAAAAAACAAAAAAAATTTGAGAATGGAAATACACTTTCTGATTGAGACAATTCTGATTGGTCAATTAAAAAATTTCGACCAAATTTAATCAACCAATCATATTATCTGATTATTATTTAATATATATATACATATATGTATGTGAGAAAAATTAAGAGTATGTATTCATTAGCACACATATTCGTGTATCCACAACAAATTTCTTAATAAAATGTAATTTCAATAGTTGAATTTATGAGTCAATTGAAGTTAGACCACCATGGAACACCTGGAAACACTGAATGGCCGTTTCGTCCTGGTATGAGGCTTCTCAGCAGTGCGTATCCATGATCCCACTCTCCGCGAGATTCGAGCCCAGGACCTATCAGTCTCGCATGATAACGCTTAGCTCCGAGACCACCGAACTGGCCGGTATCCAATGGTGTTAATGTCTAACTTCAACTAATCCACGAAATCGCGCTACCGTACACCATTGTCTTCAGTGAATTGATATCTCACAACAGACCTGGTTGAACTCCACTGATCACGGCTTCTTACTAGAACTTCAGGAAATGCCACTTGAAGTCAGTCACTAGTGAGCAGATGATTATTATCAAAAAGGGTTTTGTGGAGATTTTTAGAAATTTTACTAGTTGAAATCATGAGTCAATTATAACTAGACCACCATGGAAAACCTGGAAGCATTGGAAGGTCGCTCAGTTTCGTGGATTAGTTTAAGTTAGACATCAACACCTTTGGATGCCGATCGGTTCAGTGGTTTGATGGTAAGGCGCTCGCGCGCGAGACTGATAGGTCCTGGGTTCCAAACTCGAGTGGGGCGGGATCGTGAATACTCACTGCTGTGGAGTCCCATACCAGGACGAAACGGCCGTTCAATGCTTCCAGGTTTTCCATGATGGTCTTGTTTTACCTGACTCATGATCACAACTATTAAAATTATTAAAATCTAGAAAAAAACCCTTCTGATAAAATGTAATTCTTAACAATATCAAAATGTATATTGTTAACAATACATTCCAACCCACCCCCCTCAATCTACCAACTCTCTTTCTTTCTACCTTTATACACTAATTCAACACAATTTGTTGTAAATCAAACACAACAAATTATATCTTCAGGGAAAATTAATCAAAAGTTAACATGTTTGTATGTTTATACAGTTTTCATTGTTTAAAATATTTAAATGGCATAGTTATTTTAATGAACATCTTGTTATTATGTAATAAATCGAAAAATTGATTACATATTATATTTTTTTCTCTGAATATTCCCGTAATATGAGACAATGTGTTTCAACTAGAAACTTTTATCCATTTATTGATTTTCCATATGAACAGAACAATTATCGTGACTGGCTTCAATAGGTATTTCTTAGAATTCTAGTGAGAAGCCATGACTAGTGGAGTTCAATCGGATCTGTTATGATATAGTAATACACTGATGACAATGGTGGCACAATTTCGTGAGTTATTTGAAGTTAAACATCGACACCATTGGATGCCGGTTGGAACACCAACGTTTACGACCTTGGCCCAGTTCCAAACCAATGACGTGTCAACTAGCACTATCAGCCTTGCGTCATCTCTCAGTCCTTATTGGTTCTTCTCCCATGGCCTTTCCTGTAAAGTCCAGAACCCAAAACATAATAAAGGAATTATATTTGTTGAGGTTTAATAAAATCATTCAATATTGAATTGTGGATGCGTATTATTGAAGAATCCTATACCACAATATAACAGGCATTCAATACTTCCAGGTTTTTAATAGTGGTCTAGCTTAGAGCGACTCGTGAATTCAACTATCAATATTAAATAATTTACAACTTTTCCTTAATCATCAATTTCTTTGTTTAAATAACTGGTAAGACAACCACCATTTTGTTTATGGAGGATATATCGTTATCCACCTGAATAGTCATAACAAAGGTATTTACTAAATAAAAATTTAATACTTTTGGTCACTTGACGCCATAACTAAATGGTTCCATTAGCAAAGACCATGTTAGTCAATTGATAGAATATAACTGATAAGAAGCAAATGATCAAGATCAGTACGAACTGAAAGTCATCAGCTAGGTATACACCAAAGATATTTATGAAACTGATGATTACAGTTGAATGTGTATTCAGATCACTTATTGTCTTATTCAAAGATGTTACCATTGAATGGATTCATCCATGTCAAGTTTTTTTTAAGCTTAGTGATCACATTGTAGTTCGATCGGTTTCTATTAATGTACAACAATGTAAACTTTATTTACAATTATGAAATCAGTTGGTATTTCATAATCATGGTAAAAATGTATAGTAAAGAGTCAATCAGTGTTGAGATAGGAATTTCAAGGTTTGCATGAGTAGAAAATACCAGCTGTTATGAGGTTTATCCTTGGTTTTTGATAAAAACTGTAACTATACAGCACCTACAAACTGTAAGTTTGATATAAAGACCCATTTCATATAACTGTAGTCAATATAAAAATACAAGTGTCTGTGAAGAGAAACATAATGGTTACGTTCTCAGATTCCCTTGTTCTAAACAGAGAACGTTATTATTATTATCAATATTAATGGCTTTATTCAACTTTATATGTTTAGTACAATATGGAATTCTCAGAATACAATGAGTGCCAACGGGTTTCTCACAGTCTTCTTACTACTTACATACTTACTTACACATGTTACCTCTCGTGGGGGATTTTTATACAACTCTGTCCTGGACGATTCTTTGCAGTTCTTTAAAGTTGCTATTCAACTTATTCATGTCTGCTTCCGATTCTTGATGTAGTGTGTTCTTTGACCTTCCACTTTTTCGTTTCCCTTTAAAATTCCAAGTTAGCGCTTGCCTCGTAATACAGTTTAATGATTTGCGTAATGTATATCCGATACATTTCGATCGTCTTTTCCTAATTTCCTCTTCAGTTGGAAGCTAATTTGTCCTCTTCCACAGTAGGCTGTTATTGATGGTATCCGGCCAAGGGATGTTGGGCATCTTGCGTAGACAACTATTTATAAATACTTGTACAGTTTTGATGATGGTTGTGGTAGTTCTCCATGATTCAGCTGCATACAGCAGAATCGCCTTGACGTTCGTATTAAAGGTTCTGACCTTGATATTAGTCGAAGTAAAAATAGTAGTGATTATTATTATTGTTAGAATCTCGACAAATCCCCATTCTAATAATAATTATAATGTGCTCACTACTGACTACATTCAAGATGGATTCCTTCTAGTTCTAGTGAGAAGTCGTGATAAATGGAGTCCAGTTCATGTTGAGTGTGAGACAGTCAACCAACTCAAACAATGAATAAATGATTGAGCAAGATCATGGATCGATTGAAGTTAGACATTAACAACGTTGAATGACGACTCAGTAATATAGAGATTAAGCGTTTATTCATGAGACTGTGGTTTCTGTGTTGGATTCCATTTGTTTCGGGATAGTCTTATACTAAGACGAAACGGTGATCCATTCCTTCCAGGTTTTCATTGGATGTCTAGTTTACATGGACTCATGAATCCAACTATTATTATTGTCTTTGTTATCATCATTACCATTGTCATGTCATGACCGATTAAAAAGAAAATGTTATTGAGTATAAAATATTTAAGAAAATGCAGTTCGGTGATTCCCCTAAGGTATGTCCTATGCAGTTCCAACGTTTTTCCCTAATTTAATATTCAGATGAAAGCTGGTTTGTCCTCTTTCACAGAAGGCCACCCACCAGCATTCTCCATACAACTTTATCCCGGGCAATCATTTCCAGTTGTCTCCGGTTTCTATTCATCCTTGTCATGTCTGCTTCTGATTCCTGAAGTAGTGTGTTCTTTGGCCTACCACTTATCTGTTTCCGTTCAAGATTCCAAATTAGCACTTACCTCATGATGCAGTTTGATGATTTTCAAAATGTGTGTCCTATCCACCTTCAACATGTTCCCATAATTTCCTATTCAGATGGAAGCTGGTTTATTCTTTTCCACATTGAGCTGTTTCTGATGGTATTCGGCCATCGGAAATTGAACATCTTGCATAGACAACTGTTTATAAATACTTTTACTTTTTTTTGATGATGTTTGTGGTAGTTCTAAAAGTTTCAGTTTCATACAGTAGAACTGTCTTGATGTTCGTATTGAATATTCTGATTTTTATATTGGTTGATAGTTGTTTATAGTTCCATATGTTCTTCAATTGGAGGAATGCAGTCCTTACTTTGCCAATCTTTGCTCTTACATCTATAAAGGATCCTCAGTCTTCTTCAATCATAAAAAGGAACTACCAATAACTACATAAATATATACGTAAAATAAGTAAGTAAATTACATTGAAATAAATGAATCTATAAAACTGTGAATCAGTTACGTATTCATAAATATAAGTCTTTGATCAGATCAGCTCTAACAACTTCTTCATTGAATAGTATATATATGCTAGACACAGTAATGTACAACGTTTATACTTTTCCTTACGTGCATGAAATCTAATGTATCGGCATCTCGTTCTATCAAAAGATATACAAAGATAAATATGTGAATGGAGTTGATGGTTAAAATGCCAGCTAGTATGCAAGATTTCAAATGTCTGTAGTGTCTGTCATTATGTTAAGCCCAAATACCTTATTATTCTAACTTTCAGACAGCCCATTCTATTCATTCTATTTGAGTCACATTCTGACCTTGTTAATTATTCGCTTGTCAATATCTTGACTGTGTTTGTATGAGCGCGTAGGCGTATGTACACTTCTTATCCCGTTACTCATCACATGTCTGTAATTTATTTTTGTGGGCTTATAAATATTGATTAACTGTTTGTTAAGCGGAGAGTTGGCTAACCAACCATCTCCACCGCGCGCCAATTTAGCTTCGCTTTCTCATCTTCGCATCGTTCCTCCTTTCGTTCGTCTAATCAACAATTATACGAAATATATGCATTCAAAACTCCATTCTCGTTATTTGACTTATTTAATTCCGTTATTAACTAACGCGATTTAAGTCAATGATTATATACGAGGATAGGTGATAGCAAACATTCATACAATCATACGATCAAATTAGAGTCAGATCATGGGCCACTAAATGTCTATTCACAAATATATTCATAATCACCTTCAAAGATTCATCACATACTCTGCTGACGTTTTCAGAACCCTCTGTAAAAAGGCAAAATGCACTTCAGTGAATGTAATCAAAGTGACCTCAATTGACCGGTATCATTAATAACAAGAAAAACTCTCGATTGTATTTTTTATTATGCAGGAAGAATTGTAGAAATGAATGAGCTAATCATCAGAA